CTGAAAATGTCCGTATTTGATCCGAAAAAAAAAATATATATATATAAAAACACTAGATTTTGCATAAGGATCGAAGATGTACTGTGGAGAATATTGAAATGCTCCCAGAAGCTGAAGCGCCGTCGACCCGAAAAAGCAGACTTGTTTCCAGATATACACCACAAAGCACAACCGCCGTCCGGTGCCACTAGTGTGGCCAAATACGGGTACTTATCAACCAAATACAATGCCACATCTGTTCATTATATATACATATATCATTTTCAGTATGATCGAATAAGGAATTAATCCGTCATGTTTAATAATAACACGAATTAGCAGAGTATATATCTATATATATATATATATATACCGAAAAAATCAGCTTCAATAAGGTACCCAAGAAGTCTGAGTCCATCATAGCAATCATAAGGTTTTTGCTCCTTGGTGGCCTGAAGAAGGTACAGAAGAATTCGTTTGTGGCTAAACAGCGCCGCTGTATGCACCGGAAAATCGTTGCGGAGAAAATTTGGAGTGTACAGCAAACGGGGCATCCTGTTGACTAGAATAGTTGCTGCTTCTGTGTTGTCTACATTTGCGGCAGAGTGTAGTGCGGTGTGCCCCGTGACATTTCTCCGTGCCATCAGTTCCTCACCGGTATCGTCCGCCATCAATAATTCGACCATGTTTCGCACGAAATGGATTCCCTTCTTCCCTGTACCAACTGCCACGTGGAGAGGCGTCAGCCCTGTGTTATCGAGGACCGCAGATTTTGCTCGTGGATCTCGGTCGAAGATTCTTTTTGCGGTCTCCCAGTCTCCCTCTAATGCTGCCTTGTGCAACGGCATGTATTTCATGATGAGATCTTCCTCCTTTGTTTCATGCAGCTTGTTTTCGCCGGTGGAGGAATATTCCAATGACTTTAGAATATTTTTCTGTCGATCGTAAAACGTGTTTTCCAAGTGCAACCAGACGTTTCTAGAAGTTTCAAGGGCCGAAACCTCGGAAACCATGTCTTCATGGAGTGAGCCCAAGATCCATCCTTTAAGAAGCCTGTCACTTCTTCTCCAAAGACGGTAGTCGTTGCCCCCCCTCGCCATCGTGGTGGAAGTGGAAGTTGAAGTTTCGGGGGCCGACGGCGGTGGTGGAATGGTGCCGTCGATGAAACCGAGGAGGTCCTGGCCTTCGATCAGGCAAAGCATTTGTTCTTTCCACGCTTTATAATTCGTGCCGTCTGTCTCGTGAAAACGGAGTTTCATCGATATGAAGCTCGGCCCGTTCACGGTTGCCGGCCACGGGTATTCCACATTGGACGAAGCCATAAACTTTGTAATTTTTTTTTTTGGGATGGATGATCAAAGCATATATGTTTCTTATTTACTCTATATAGGGAATGAAGTGACAATCAGGGAAGGTAGAAATAGAGTTAAAAGGAAATAATTAGCAACGCTCACTTTCACTTTCACTTTACTCCTCAAATCATTTGTCTATTCTTTCAAACATAATTAATTTTAGATGGGTGCAAATTTAAACGGGACATGTCAAAAAATTAGTGGAATCCGATTTATATTAAATATCGGCTGATCCGCTCAGAATTTATTCTCATTTTAGATTATTCCTTAAATTAAAAGTTTGCATATATATCTACATTAGTTATGACTTATGTCATATTATTATGTTGCTGAAATAATTAATTTTTACAAAAGAATTTTAGTACGGAAAAATAAAATTTTATTTTACAGTGCAACTCTTCCCTATCATTTTGTTCGGATAGTGACGACGAGCTCGTATTTTCTGGCTCAAGTATATAAAAAAGAAAAAGAAAAAAAAAAAAGAGAATATGGGGAGATGGAATGAAGTAATAATCAGGTAAGGTAGCAATAAAAGAAAAAGAATCCTGGATAATTATATTAGGGTTTTAATTTGGAGTAGCAACTTTTCACCGTGTAAAACATGTTCTTCATAAATTAAAAAAATAAACTATGAAGCAACATCTCTCAACGAAAAAAAGAAAAAAAGATACATAGAAGATGTTTTGCACGTGCGCGACCAAATGTCTTTAGAAGTTTCCAGAGAGGAAACCTCGGGAAGCATCTTGTTATTGATCTTTTCCTGTGTTGGCGCTAATTCCGGGGCGAAAATAATTTGTTTTGTGATTAATATTTCTTAGGAATAGCAGGTAAATATGAAGTTACAATTAACAATCTGCATTCTCCAAGATGGAACTGTTCACATTGATGTGTCTCCCCTTTTTGTGTGTGCGCGTGTACGAGAGAGAGAAGGTGACTTGAAGGCCCGATTTGCAATGGATGATTCATCCGACTCTTGATGCCGACTCTGATCCAAACTCACCGTTGAAGAAGAGATCAGAAGAAGATGACGGATTATGAAATGAATTGTCACAAGTTCCCCGATAAAATCCCTACAAAACCACACAAACACAAAGCAATGGGAAAAAAATTCGTCTAACAGCAGCGTCACCGTGGTGAATTCCAGCCGCGGCGGGGGAGGCAGTGACGACGACAACTACTCTAACGGGACCTTGGTGCAAGAGGGAATGGAGGTAAATAACCTCGTCTCTGAGCCTTTAATTATCAGACTCATTGGAGAAGAATGAAATATTGAAGTTGTTTTGTTGTTTAAGGGGGTCAAGATTTGGGGTTTTTTTTTTTTTTTTTATAATCCGACGAAGAGATTAGCCATAGAGTTTTAGACTGAAGAGAGGGTTTTTTGAAAATAGTAGGGACTGGATTGAAAAATTTAGACACTTTTTTTTGGGATTATGAAAATTCCAAGGTGAATCAGCAATTTTCAGTTGAAGAGTATTTATGTCTTTTCAAGACAAAAATGCACCTTCAGTCGCACAAACCGCGAGTGTATCGCACGTCAAGCTCACAGGGTCCTTATTGCATTTGATTAATTTTCATTGGAGGGTTAACACAGGGATTTTTTCGACAATTCAAGAGTACCCAAGGGTGGTCCTTGCAAAAAACCCTTTTAATATAGTATAATTTATTTTTTAATACAATTTAGTTATTATATATTTAATTTTTTTTTTCTTGGTAATGCTAGCCGTGCATGGCACGAGAAGTCGGAGAAGAATTGCTAGTTGAACTAATAATTAAATATGTTTTCACCTAATAATCACTTAAAAGTTTAAACACACAAATATCAATATTATTCCGTCTATTTATTTTTTTATTTCAATTCACCATATCCATTTTTTGAACACACATACACAAATTAATTAAATTAACACCCCAAATGCAACCTCTGATCAGTAGAATGGACGATTACTTTGTTTAACAAAAATTCCGGGGCCAAATGTGGAAGAAATCAAGTCGGCGAGAAGCGGGTACTGCAAGAGCACAAACGAAGTAACCGGCAAGCAGGCCAACGCCGCCACCGGAATGAGCACCCACGCGTTCTTCCGGCCAAACACTAAATACAGCGTCGCGCTAAAAGCCACCATCATAAACGTTATCGACAGAAAAAGTGTTCCGAGGCCAAAAATTAATCTCTTCGGCAAAACGTGCAGAAAATCTTCTTCCGCGTAGCGCGACGTCAGGATCGACAAGAACATCAACAGAGAGGTGGTGGATGCGAAGAGCGAGATAGCGTCGGAAATGGCAAACACGAGGAACATTTTGTCCGTCGCGAATACGGGGAAGCCGGTCTCGCTTTTACTGCCACCTGGCACTGTGATAGCCGCCGCGAACATTATCGTAACGATCAATGCCGCCGCAATGGTGCACGATCCCGATGTATCTTTCATCCACTTCTCTCCTTCTTGTTTCAAGTTCTTGTGCTCCTCCGTGAAAATCATATTAGGAGATTTTCTTTCATTGTTCATACGTTCTCTCGAACTAGGGCTGATGGTTTTCTCGACTTGCTGCATGCATGGGAAATATTATATATTTACGTACGTTGAGAGTGTGTTTATCATGCATGCAATATGCATGCATGCATGGTCGTCTCTAGCTATTTTGGGGGCCTAAAGCGAATAGTAAATTGGGGGCCCTTTCATTCATTCTTTCTTATATATCCAAATTTACAATTTAGTCAATTTTTATTATGTTAAAAAAATAAAAAAATCCTCATAGTAAAATTACTAAAATACCCCTATCGATTATTGGGCCCTCGGCAAATGTTTTTAGCTGCCATTATATAGTCTAAGACGGCCATGCATGGTTGTTAGAAGTATATATCTATAGAGGACGAAGAAGTTCGAAAGTAGCTTTGTTCAATTAATCGGTAGCTAGCTAGGTTAATTATAAAAATTACCTTGTACCATTGCATTTCGCGCTGCATTTGGAGAGCTGCGCCGGAAATCTCGTTGAGTTTGTGAGATGGTGCGAGTTTTCCGGCGGCGTGCAAGAGGTTGTTTCCATCCTTGTCTTCTATGTCTAAATAAATGTATTTATGATCTCCCATTTGATGTGTGAGATTAAAGACGCTCTCGGATCGGTTTAGAACTGCCGCGAGAAATATGGGTTGCCTTGAAATATAGACTACACCACTCGGGAATGCCTCTACGATCATCTCCACAACCTGGTGGATCCCTAATCGCGCTGCAATCAGTACGGCATTTTCGGCAATATGGGGAAGCCTTCGAAAAACTCTTTGATTCCGTTAACTTCTTGCACAAGAATCTCACAAGGCTTGTTGCTTGTTTTAGTAAGGAATGTTTTATTTGTCACTGGAAATAGGTTTTGGTAACGAAATTTAAATATTGTCGCTAAAACTTAAGATTTAGGTAACAAATATTTGTAACCGTTACAAAAGGATCTATTTCGTTACCAAAAGTCTAATTTTTCGGTAACAAGTAGAAAATCTCGTTACGATAGTGCACAATTGTTACAAAAGACTGTTGTTCTAGTGACAAAATAAAACATAGTTACCAATAGTATAATAATGTTACAAAAGGTGTTATTCTATGGTGACAAGTTTCAATGTTTGTTACAAATATTAAAGTTGTTCAATGGCCCAATTCATTTTAATATTCTCCATAGTGCTCGCTGTGGAACAGAACATAAACGAAAAACTGGGCTAGGGTTTTCAATTTTCTTACATCGTCCATATTTCCAATTTCCACCACCGCATACCATGTTAGCATAATCATGTCCATCATCGACGGCAGCGGCTAAGACGATTTTGTGAAGCAGCGGCGGCGGCGCTTGGGCAAAGGGGAAGCGGCAGCGCTTGGGAAAAGGGGAAGTGGTGGCGCTTAGGCAAAGGGGAAACGGCGATGATGTTTGGGGTAAAGAAGCCGCGGCGGAGACACTTGTGCAAAAGGCCATCGGTGACGATACTTGAGCGACGGAGCGGCAACGACAACGCGTGGGCGAAGGGGCATCATCGATTGGGCGAAGAGGCATCATCAATTGGGCAAAACGACATCGAAAAATAGGCGAAACAACAATAACGATTGGGCAAAACGACATCGGAAATTGGGCAAACAACAACACCGATTGGGCAAGAGGTGATTTAAGGTATAACTAGTTGTTTATTCTTTTTCAAATTTTCAGTTAATCCTAAAGCTAAATTTCAAATTTCATTTTATTTTCCCTATTAATTATTGATTTGAAAATTTCAAAGACCTAGGTTTTAATGTGTTCCAAGACTTGGTTTCATATTTTGTTCAGGGGTGAGGTAAAAAAATACTTGTTATGGTGATACTTAGGTGTACTTGATTCTCATCATGTTCTTGGCATGGTGTATATTAAGATGAAATGCTAGACAAATCTGTAACACTAGTTGAAGTACTTCTCGTTCCAATTTATATATAGACAATTAGGTGTATGTTTATCTACAAAGTCTTGTAACTAGTATATAGTGTTCAATGCTAACAATATTGTAGCAACAATTCATATACAGTGCTTATAATATGTATGCCTTTTGTTTTGATTAGTAGAACATGGTTTGAATGACAATGGATCTAAATTTATTTCTTTTAGGTTCTTTTTTAGACTCATATGTGAAACTTGCTATGTATGCCATATCTTACTCTAAGTGGGAATTAAGAACTTAAAATTTGAAGTGCCTTGCGTGTTGTAAAAAAAGGAAAAAAATGCAATAGTGGTTTTCTTTGGGTTGGATGAATATGTTAACTTCTTCGTAATTGTTAGTGTCAAGCTTAGAGTTGATATCTTGACAAGATGATTTTTTATTTTCAAAAGACGACGCTGCTTATGATATGATTTTGTAGTATCTCCTCTTGATTTTCATAACACCTCTTTTCTCGATATGTGAACTTCTTTTCGTAGTATCTCCTCTTGACTATCTTTTTTTTTTATTCTTCACCTATTGCTCGATCTGTGGAACATTGGTCCAAAACTGATGAAGTCATGAAAATCGTCAGTGATATTATGAAGTCTCCCAAAAACAGCTGTCACGCAAGAATTCAGTAAAGAAATGACTAAGGTAATGTTGCTTGGTACAATATGGATTCTTGTACTTGTGTCAAAGAAAAAAAAACTCATGCTTTGAATTAATTTGTACCTTCTTTTAATAATTTTGCTTGTATGTTTAGTTATAGAGGATCTCCTCTCATTAGAAACAATTGTAGGATAATGTATGTGTTATCTCTGCACTATTTTGAATGCATTAATGCTCAGATGAATGATGTCGAGACTTGGAAGTATTAGCTAAAATTATTATTACCTATTTATTGGTTGCTCAAATCAGAATTCTTTGTAAAGTATAAAGGCACCTTTATATCTTATGAGGTCAACTAGCCAACTGTAACTCAATAATAGATAATCTTGAATATTTCTATGCATAAACTATATTTAATCAATATAGTTTAAATTATTCTTGTTTGTTATTTGTATAATTTTTACAAGTCATATAATACAAGTTAAACTTATGAATGCAGGTCTTCGATGTAAAGACAATGGTGGATGGCGCAATAAAGTTTCATAAAGTTATTAACTTGTATTTAGACCTATCAATATTCGTAAGTTATTAACAATATTTTTTTGTAACATAAATGATTATCTCTAGTCTTGATTGAGATTGTTAAGTGTAATGTTACCAAGTAGTTTTTGACTAAGTACATGATATCTTCTTATTTTGGAGTTTATATATATATATATATATATATATATATATATATATATATATATATATATATATATATATATATATATATATATATTAAAAAAAATATTATGAGTATTGGTGAGGATCTCCGTTGTCATAATACGTTTTTGTAACAAACATTTTTATTAGTAGTATATATTCAATAATTGACTTTTGGTAACGAACCAGCTTTTGGTAACGAAAGAAAATAGTTCTAATGACGATATACTTGTTACAGTAAATTAGGATTTTGTAACAATTTATTACTTGTTACCGACCACCACAATCTTAGTCAGGCG